TTATTTAAATTCGCTGAGCTTTTCCCTTTCTGATTCGTTCAAAAGTCACCTCACAGATGGAAGGATGTTATTAAAATAAATCTTAAAGAAACAGGGTTGTAGGATATGGGTAAGATTCAGCTGTTTCAGGATAATGACTAATGGGGACCTCTTGCGACCACGATGATTGGCCTCCAGTTCCCACGTGAGGCGGAAAATATCTCGAGTAACTGAGCGACTGTTTGCCTCAAGAACACTGCTGTATGAAAATGACCCCTCACTGACGTCGTCGTGAACGCTGCGTTACCAATGACAGTAATCCTAGTCCGTAGCTTTTGTAAAAACTACAATCTAAATTTGAAATTACAACTGATATCACAACGTGACTGGACACGTGGAATAGATCTCACAGAAAGTGGATACTTCAGTAACTAGAGAGATGGATCACTTTTATCTTGACATCATGACAAATGTCATCAACCAGGAGGATGGAAGAGAATTATGATGATGCTCCTGCAACATGGCGGACCATGTCATCTCCACCCTAGTTCCTCTTTTGTTGTGATAGACCTGGGAACCAGACCACCTGGACAATGTAATTATGGGGTAAAGTGAGGAGGTTCGTCAAAAGGGGGGGGGTGGACACAGTTCAGTGCACAATCGCATAGGCATTATTATTTTCGCTTTCTTTTCTCTCTTTATTCTCGTCTTATTATTTTCTTCAATGAAAGGAGAACTATTAGTCCACTGAGATGAGTGAATGTGTTTGTATATTTATTTATTTGTTTCTTTTTTCCTTCTTTTGCCAGAGATTATATAACATATTGCATATGAAAAAGAATTTGTAACCTGGCTACTTGTGATCTAAAACGTAATATATTTTTAAACACAACCCTTGCGTACTGCAGCTACGTTCTCGCTTGAATATCGGTCGTGTCATTTCCAGAATATAATATAAACCCTCCAGCTTAAACATTTGCTTTGTCAAGATGGTCCTCATATGCAAAGAATAGAATTAAAGGTGAAATTGTCCCCGTGCCTAATTAAGAACTATTTTATTTATATTTATTTAGTGTTCTGCCTGACGACAGGTCCATATGAACAGGATCCTTCCATCCTTTTCTCGGACTGGGACCTGTTCATATACGTTCTTGGCAGATGATCCAGAAGTGCTTTGCCATTGCCTTCTTCTGTGTGTGAATGGAGTAATTGTTGGGATGCCACGGAGAAACCGGGGAAGCCCCCGGAGGAAAACTCCGTGTTGCCTAGACCACGGCCTTGCCCAACACAAGTTATAAATTCGGGCACCGCCGGGAATCGAACCCGAGACCCTAGGATTACAAGGCCAGCGTTCTAACCGCTAGACCACCGTGGCTATAATTAAGAACTAAGCCATGACAAAGTATGAGGAAATTGGGTTACAGCTGCACGCATTCTTAACCTCAGCAGTAGATGGGAGTGAATGTGCATGCTACATGACCCAATAAATTATCATCATCATCATGATTTTCGGTTTATCTCCCTGTCAGTGTTTGTAAATGCATTTAGGACCTTTGCGAATAGGCCCAATGTCCAAGAATTGAAACTGATTCAAATTATTACATTCTTTAGCTAGCAAGATATAAATAGAATACATTGCAATACAGAAATCAATACATGGGCTATATCAAAGTATCCAAAAATGTAATATACTATAAACTTTTGTTCGGTTGTTTGTCGCACGGGATATCGTTGAGAGAGACATCATGCTGATATATAAAGTGTATATAATTTATGTATTACATTGGTTGGTTGACAGTCGTCTAAAGTAGACAAAAACTAGTGCTCATCATTCAGGGCACTTAACAAACAACCTTCCGTTCACTTCGAAGCCTTATCAACAAATTAAAGAAAAAAAAACAAATAAATTTTGGCAGTAACACTTTCTCCACAGTGGCTTATAGATTAGCCCACAAAATAAATGTTTGAAGTCGACTGTCTTCTGAGACGTTGCGTCGCGTAATCTGGCACAACTATAGTAACGATTTCATCATCACGGCGATGACTGACTCTCTGTGCTGATGATGGAGGCAGCAAAGCACTATGAAACGTCGGTAAACTTTAACCAGACTACACCATTCAAGTCTCAGAAGCCAATCGTCTTCATATTCGCCCCCTTAAGACCCTCACGACAAGTAACATCCAGTGTCCTCCAGTTGGATGCCGTAAGTCCTCCGCTACGAATAGGTGTGTTGCAATGAATCTGAAGCAACTTGGTTATTCTTGGTTACCAGTGATACGTCTGCTTAGTGAGCTCGGCGTTGCTTTCAGTCTCTGGCAAGATTTTATGTTTCGCGTGTCCTGTCCAGAGAATAGACTCACAATAGTCGCTAACCTCTGCTGCTGAAAGCCAATTGCGAAGTAACAAAATTTCGATATTTCTCTAGTAAGCAAACATCCACAGTTTCATAAAATTAGCTATGAAGCTCTGTTTACTAGTTCTTTCTTCACGAACAACTTTCCCTCCTTATAAGTACGACTGAGGAAGATAACGCATGTAAATGCAGAAATAAGAATCTCCTATAATTTTCATTCCATGTTCTTAATTACATTCAATCGGTGTTGTAGTTGTGATACCTGGCAACAACTAACTAAGCCTGCTCTGTAGAAGAATCCTTACGTAGAAGCCAATCAAGAAAACTCCTGCTTTCCATTATGAAGCCCAAAGGCTTGTTTTCGTGTGTGCACAATACCTCACGTCTAGCCTCCGTAGCCTTCTTTATTGTATTACTAAAACAAAAAATTTCATACTCACCGCTGTGAAAACCTCAAATCTTACAGAAATCTTTCTATAGGACATAATTTCTGTCATAAATCTATTAATTATGCTAGACATTTCTCGATGTTTTAGATACGTCTTGCGTCTGCAATCCATTCTTTTATTATACTGGTATTTTTCTTGTTTTAAAATTATTGGCGAAGGTTAATATTGAACACGGAACTTTATCAGACTAAACTAATAGTTACTTTGATTTGTTTACACCAATCATTATACGGAGAGATCGAGCCAGGAATGGTAATTATATCAAACATTCCTCAAACAATCGATAATATTTAACATAATTCTGGTATAATGAATTAATCATTATCACAAACCATGGTAAACGTTATCCATAGTCGTAAATAATTGGACTGTAGTTAATCTCTTACAATACAGAAGCAAGCTGACTTCACGCTACCTTATATTCTACTGCATTTCTCATTTATGAAGTGTACTATTAGCTCTGATACTTAGTTTGCTTTCCATCTGGTCACTATATAATCAGCTTAACCGCATGATTATACAGTGATCACACTGCAGGTACATAGTAACTCCCTTATCGACTTCGAAAACACATTCTCTTCATTGCTTAACTACGTCACGTATCATCTCCCTCTATTGATGTCTGTATGGCCCACTTATTCTCTAGGCTATTCAAGAACCCTTTGTTGATGCCTTGGTCTTATTTATTTAGAGCGCAGTAAAACCTAAATGGCCTCATCTCGATACGTAGTGCGCTCTGAAGAATTCCATAATGCAGAAGAAATTTTGTGTGTACGAGATGAGTTACGTAGCTCTGCAGACTTCAATTCGAAGACGTCAGGATGTACGCGTAAACGTTTATTCATATCAAACACGTACTGAAATCAGGCAGCTCAGTAGCTGTGTTTGAATTTTCAAATTTTGATGCAGCAATAGAAAAAGGTGTTTTTGAGTTAAACGTTTACTTTAAAATGCACTAAGTATTACCTTTGAGAAGTTAATTTTAGGGTTAACATCAAATTCTACACAGTTGACTTCAGACCACACCCCCAAACCCTATTTACCTAAGATCCATTTTAATATTGTCGTCCTCTCTACACGTACAGCGGAGCAGACAGAACAGTACTACGGATTGGACCCGAGAGGGGCAGAGGCCTCTGCTTCAAGGCTGGCTCTGGGGTCCACTGACCTCTTCCTAGGGCCGAAGGAAGCAATGAGTAGAAACTATATACCTCTCCCCCGAAATGCCTACACGGCGTGCAGCGGGACGGCTTTGTATTATCTTACTTTTACTGTGTACCTAGATCTGGTCTCTTCCCTTCAGTTATTGCAAACAAACGTCCCCATGCTTTCTACATTCCCTGCCCATCTTAACCTTACTGATAATATTAGGTGAAGAGTGTTCATGGTCTGTGTGTGTAAATATGTGCAGCCTCCCGGCACTTCATCGTCAGGTTCGTTGGAAATATTGTATATTCGTATACAAATCAGAACAGCTTATAACTTTTTTTAAATTTATATTAATAATATACTATGGTCGAATAGATTTTTACGTAAATATTCCGAGGTATGTTGCAGCCGTCTGTGTAGCACTCATTCCCATCCAAGTAAAATTCTGCAGTGCCAAATTTTCGAATCACACGTGGCTCCCATAAAAATAGGGAAACCATAGAAATAAAGCCGCATTTCACGTACCATACATGCTATATGACTGCGTGGGTGGCGGTAATATAAGTCAAACATAACCCAGTTATTGTGAAAGTCCTCGCTGAAGCCAAAGCTCAGACTAGGACGTCAGATGTGAAGGAATCATAAATGCTCCTGTTTGGGTTTGTAGCGTGAAGCGTGAAATTAAGGGGATGGGATGACCCAAACAAATCTTTGGTGAGATACGCGAACACAACGGACAATTCGGCAACCCCAGAGATCTGTTTAATACCTGGCTGGATGGTTTGCCTCTCCCTTTTGGTAAACTCTCTTCTATTACATACAGTAACGACAAAAAGTCATGACCACAAGAACGGAAGAGTTCCCTCCACACAGATATGATATTTTCCAATAATAAAATGTCCTCAAATTACAAATAAGGCTTATAGCCTATTACATTACTGCTTCCCCGGAAACAGGGTGACCCAGCTACACCCCAAAACACTGGGTACCTCGGGATCGTCACTTCCCATATCACTAATGTGAGCCCCTGATGGACGTATTTTATAAAATTCTTTATTTTATGTTCCAGGTCCTCGTTCGAGACGTCTTAAAAGGAAAGATAAGAAGCCGGAAGAGAAGAGACCACGAACAGCGTTTAGCGGCGAGCAGTTGGCACGCCTGAAACACGAGTTCACCGAGAATCGTTACCTGACTGAGAGACGCCGAACAGAACTGGCGCGAGAACTGGGCCTGAACGAGGCCCAGATCAAGATCTGGTTCCAGAACAAACGCGCCAAGATCAAGAAGGCGAGCGGACAGAAGAATCCGCTGGCGCTGCAGCTCATGGCCCAGGGGCTGTACAACCACAGCACCATTCCGATGACAAGAGAAGAGGAGGAACAAGCTGCCGCTGCGGAGGCAAACGCAGGCAAATAGCCTCACATCCATCACCAAACTGCGAGACACTCAGCTTAATCGTGATTCTGCTAATAGTAATTTTGAAAGTGAGACAGTATTTAAAGTGACTGTGAAATGGAACAATCGCTGACTAGCCTAATGCGACACATAATACAAACCCAGGTTCTTCGAATTAAATCAATGACTGCCCTTATGTACGAATTAGGATGACGCAGATAGAAACAAAGACATTTCAGCGGATTTAATAAAATTAAACAAATGACGAGTTTCAGAACATGAAGTTTCCTATTTCTGTGTAAAGTTATTTAAAGAAACAGCTTTAAAATATTCCAAAACCATTGTTTTACCACGTAGAATTCTTCCGCAAGGAGACTATAAAACATACCACAGAAGACTGTTACTGCCTTCAAGAAAATTATCACTTGCTTCGGAATATATTTATTTTAAAAGAAAATCATTAACACTGAACTGCACATACATTTATTTTAACACAGATTTTAATTCGTCCTTGTAAATGTCATATTAAAGTATAATGATTACTGCAGCCAAAAATTCTAAACTTATCTAATAGAACCAATGACTAGTGCGAGCCATGACAACTTAATAAAGTAGCTTCCTTCCTGACACACAGATTTTGGTCACCTAGCTGGGCTTGTATTCTGTTTGTTCTTAAACTGAACTCTTGGTTTGCGTGGTTCATTTCAGTCCTTTTAGAAAAATCTAGGATTAGTACTTTACGAAGGTGAGCTGGGATAACTCGTCAGGATAGTGACTGAGTAGGGATTGGCCGACCGGGTTTTGATCGCCGACAGGGGCAGTGGATTTCTTCCTTAGCGTCTGCGTCCAGACCGGCTCTGGGGCCTATCCAACCTCCTGTCCAATTGGTACCCGGGTCCTTTCCCAGGCGTAGAACGTGACAGGTAGCCCACGCTTTGATATTCTTAAATGTGTCAGTGGACCATAATCGGACAAGAAGCTGACCGTCTGTTTAGTCCCATTCTGAGGCTAGTTGTCCCGAAAATGCCGTGGGAATTTTTCACGTTGGCAAAAACGAGTGACGGCCGCTGTGATGTGAACCCCAGGGTGCTCCCTTTAGAATGAAACCCAAAATAATCATGTACTGCGATATAAAAATTATATCAGAAACAGTGTAATGCATTTTATCAACCTCCTCCGTTATCACTCAAACCATTGTCACGTTGTTTGCTAGGCCGCTGATCATCCAATTTGCTCAAAAGTTGTACATATGCGAGCATTCACGAGCAGAATCAGTGAAAATCCTTAACTACTGTTTAGCATCAAAATCGTTTGCTACTGCTCGTGAAACACGATATTGAACACAATGTTTCGAACACTGCCCGAAACACGTATAAAGGGTTGGATGGTAGTCTCTGATGGAGATGTGGGTATTCCGGCATCTGCTGTAAAGTTTTTCCTTACAAAAAAAACATATAAAAACGACTCGTCTTGTTTTAATGACATCACTTAACTTACAAGTACTCTTACGGTTAGAGTTCCGTTTTGGATGGGACAGTCTGTACTTCCCACAAGCAACTGTGTAACTTCATGCAGGAGAGGTAACTAACACTTTGGCGGCACAACCCGGAGATTCAACATCACTAATGTGATAAGATCCTGGTTCAGTTCCATCCACCTCCGATGCTCACTGCCTATGTAGGATTTGAGGTTTTCACGGGAGTGAGTCTGAAGATGGCTATCTTCTGGGTTGTTGCGCTGTGTATTCTGATAGAAGTATACCAACGACCCAGGAAACAGCTATCTTTGCTCACAGTCTAGTTCCCTGAAATCCATCTTAATGTTATCCTCACAACTCCTAAGTTTTGGTGTACAAGTAAAATCTTCCAAATGGTTTCTAGATTAATATGTGATTATTAAAATATTTTTTTATGACACTGTAATGTAGAAATCTGATACTTATTTAACCGTTTGCCCTATTAACGATGATGTGACCGTAATTATTTACCGCAGTTAACAGTCATTAAAAGATTTAAAGATTCACGAGTTAACTACTCTTCTTACCAGGCGGGGATGTCATGAAGCTGTTCCATGAATTTAAAAATGTGTAGTTAGGTAAATTTATCTCTGGTTCGAGGGACAAAAGGGTATAACAGCAATTTCAGGAAAATCCTAAAAATAAATGTTATTTATTTTGTATTGTAGGCATACACAACCATAATTTTACAATTTAAGGATGAAATTAAAATTCAGTTGACAAGTTTTACTAAATTACTGATAACACAAAATATTTCGTTTGTACTTTTTATTATTTCAAACCTCATTTACCCGCGCACCAGTGATATTGTTGAATAGAATTGTAGCTAACCTTTCAGATCCTGGTATCGTTCCAAGAGATGTCCTTTAGGCCGGCAGAATCAGTTAGAAATTAGGTTATTTTATAAAAGAAATCTTAAGTTTTTTTGAGTAACAAACGAACAAATACTGATTCTTATTCAGTTTATCTTACCGGTGAAATATCTGAAGGTAACGCCAAGAGTTATGAAGTTCTCATAGAGAACACATACTGAATGTGAGGATGTTCGGTTTATAGAATGTACATATAAAAAAATTGAAGAAAATAAAATTCCTTTTGAATTAAACGATCTACGTTCTGCAGTAAGAAATTCGAAGTTAAAATTGGGAGTAGATTATAGTCAGTTAATAAGTGAAAGTGTCATACCGACGTCATCGAAATAAGTTATGGAATGATTGATTTCTTTGTTTAAGGTAAATATGTTGTGTGGAGTGAAAAGCATTTGATATCAAGAACAAAGGTGCTCAAACTAACATTACTATGTTAACAAAACATACTCACTCTCCACAGAATGTGTGTTCGTGCGTCATAATCAGGGACCGTGGTTAGGATCTTCACCTTGAAACGTAGGCACAAGGGAGTGAGTTGTGACAGTCTAAAGATAATAGATTCAAAATAATACTGACAATTGAAGCAATTTAGAATGTACGTATGTACTTGAACATAAGCTATAATATTGTTATTTTGATTGTGACTTCGATACCTATAATTTATTTGTGTTTAAAATGAGAGTGTATATGTTAATGAAGTTCTTAATTTATAATAGTGAGAGTAAAGTGATTGTGTGTTAGTCAACTAGTGAATAGCCGAGACCTGTATGTTGTTTAGTAAAATGACTGTATGTAACGCATGTAATGTAAAACTGTACAGAATGCACAAAATGTGTATAGCAAAATACGATATGAAGTAATTAAAAATATTGTTCAACATGCGTAACAGAATCATATAACATGTGCCAATTATTTCCTTCTACATTTTGCAGTGCCTAATACTATTGACAGATATAATGGGAACTGCGTTACACGAGTAGAGTGTGGATTGGTGGTAAAATGAAATCGAAAATTTTCAAAAAATTCAAGGCCGTGCAGATAGAGAATACGGAATACGCATATGCACTGATCTGTAGATGTTTGATTGTGAGACACCATGAGAAAAAACACTAATAACATCTTTTCAGTGCAGATAGTGCTGTTTGAATTTGTGACAGCAGCAATCAATTAATGTACTTTGAAGAATAAATGAAACTATATCCAACTCCGACGTTAACGTAGGGTGAGGTTGTATTCCTTCCTTGACCAATTAATCATCAGCTGCCTTGTTGCTCATGCCTTCATTCTGTAATTTTGACTACAAGAACGAATTTTAATTCGAATTACATTTCTCTCGATTGTAGTTTAGCGTGTCTGTAGGAAAGTTGGTATTCTGCTGGTAGACTTCTAACATCATGCACTTTATTAATCCCGTGACTTGGTAATCAGGAGGCAAACTGAATTTGATGTACTTGAACATTTAGCAAACTTTCTCTTTGAATTGATCCTCCCACTGTGAGAACTTGTTTTGTGTCTGAAGATGGCTTTTTAGTAAAACATTTTCGATCTAGAGCAATCAACATTTTACGTATACGAAAAATAAATATAATCTTTTGTTAATAGTGGCAGTGTAGGTAATCTTGACCATCTGTAGCGTGTAGCCTGTGTTTCGGAATAAAAGAACACGAAATACCAATTCGATAGTCGATCTAGACGTTCTTATTCAGGTTACATGGATCGATACAGATTTACTCTTCTGCGGGATAATTCTCAGAATTCTTTGTAGAAGGAACATGCAAGTATACGTTGACGTTCTAAGCAATGGATCTTGGATGCCGGCGTGACAACTGATTGTTGTGTAATCACAATTTGTATTATTTATTTTATTTAGTGTTCTGCCTGACGACAGGTCCATAGGAACAGGATCCTTCCATTCTTTTCTCGGACTGGCACCTGTTCATTTACGTTCTTGGCAGATGATCCAGAAGTGGTTTGCCATTGCCTTCTTCTGTGTGTGAATGGAGTAATTGTTGGGATGCCACGGAGAAACCGGGGAAGCCCCCGGAGGAAAACCCCGTGTTGCCTAGACCACGGCCTTGCCCAACACAAGTTATAAATTCGAACCCGAGACCCCGGGATTACAAGGCCAGCGTTCTAACCGCTAGACCACCATGGCTAAAAATCCTGAAAATAACAAATTAAAAATGGCAGCTTGAAAGTATATGGTATTAGAATACCTTATATTTAGACAAAAAAATCATATGAACATGCCCCATCATAATTTGAAGCAAGATACTTTTATAATCACAGTATCATAAATTGTACTCCTCGCCAAATATAATTAGGTTAATCAAGTTACAAATGATTAGATGGGCAGGGCATGTAGACCGCATGGGAAAGAAAAGGAAAGCAAACAGTGTTTTGTTGGGCAAAACAAACGGAAAGAGATTAGGAAGATCTAAACGTAGGTGGGATGATAATATTAGAATAAATTTCTGAAAATAGAATGGAGTGGTATGAACTGAAATCATCCGGCTCATTGTCGGAACCAGTGACTTCTATTGACTGTATAATAATAAATTGGCATTCAAACACCAATCTTAGAGAAGGTTCAAATGTGTGGTCTGGTTTCGTGTGAATCACCATAGGGTAAAGTGGCGGGATCTTTTGCTGATAAAGCTTTGGTTCGGTAAAGGACAGAGAACTTTAAAAACTACCTGAGTGAGCATTATCTGCTCAAGAAGAACTCTCCTGCCTGGAGTGACTCCTTGGTTATATAACTAAGACATTCATTCCGAGTTCGACCTTAATCCATAGTTAACAAATACTGTATCTATTTCTGATAAAATTCTGTTTCATTTTTATATTTTTATTTAAATTGTTTATACTCTTGCTTAAAATCCAAAAGTCACAACTTGCTGTAATGTCTTCGACGATGGTAATCTATTAAAACTTCCTTCGTCTGCCTTAAAAATCTTAAGAGTCCCATAAAACCTCAGTTCCTTAAAAGTCGCCACATGTCGAAGAATAGATGTTCTTTTGTCAACAGGTAGAAACAGGACGGGGGAGACTCCTGTTCTGTTGGATCCGTTAGCCCCAGCTACTCTCGGTCTGTCCACGGATCTGTAATGATTTCAAAGACTTTAAAATTTTTTAAAGCAGACGACGGATAAAGTCCAAAGGAAAGAATGTACTAACACAACTCGCTGTTCTATGTCAAAATATTTCGTGTTTTGTTTAACGACGCTGCCAGTAACACAGACTACATAGCGTCGTAAGATATGCCTAATAAATAATTGTTTTGGAAGAGGCATGCAAAGACACGATTGCGACCTAATTTAATGTAATATCCCGTTAAATTCTTGGAAGGCCTGAGGAAAATCACAAAAAACTCAATCAAGATAGCCGGGCCCCAGGCCGAAATTTTAATCCGGGACTTCCAAGATGCGAAGAAGGAACCACTTGACTGTGATTTCGATGCTTGGTCCATGGTCGTCCTGTACAGGAAGGACTGCGTGTTTTTTGTGGATTTTGTTTCATTATCAGAAAAAAGGCATCCAGTTATCCAGCTGATCACTGCACGCTTTAACCAGGTGAAGAATCCCGGTACCTATTGGACAGTTGGCTGGGCTGGCCCCAGAGTCGATCTGGACGCAGAGGCTCGAGGAAAAATCCTGTGCACATATTCCATCAGGGTCTTTGTTGGCACCAAGCATGTTTCATAAGAACTTTTACATGAATATTAGCACATAAACACGTACGAATATTACATCCGGTATCTCATACTAACAGTTCCTCTTTCTGGAGCTGTCCCCACTCTTCGGCAGAAATTGGTTTTGTTAGTAACCAAATCTGCCACAAGCTGCGCGATGATCAGACCTCACACATGTGCTGATAGCAACGTGGGAGGTTGGCAGAATCTTAGAACCCAATTATGGGGGCGGGGTAAAACCTCATTAGCTCTAAGGAACTTGGATACACCAAGGGATCTCACAGTACGCATTTCTTCTGTCTCGCTAACAAGACAAGCCTGACATCTGGCGCGTGCTGGTTGACAATCAGACTTTGTGCTCACCGTATTCCAAAAATAGGAAGCTTTCTTTAACCACGGAAACAATTAACACCTTCACGTTCAAAAGTGACTGTCTGTTGTGAAGTTGCGACATGTAGTTTGTGTAGTTAATCACCCCCGCTATTACGGAGGCATAAAGTCCTCTGAAACGTCGGTCAATATCTATCAGATTACACGGTGAACCTCCAAGACGACATTCATATTTAGACGTGCATTTAGTTACAGAGTATATGTAGGGTATAATGTATAATTGTGCCTTTACTGAATGGGACTAGACTCTATGGCGCTGTAATAACCTCAGCAGTTTCTCATATGATTCACCGGGAGAACAACGTTTTGAAGCAGACCGCAGCAGTTTGTACAAACCATCGCCCGCCATTTTCAAGACATCTCTAGGCATTCATAAATTTTGCAACTCCTACAGCATTTTAATAAAATGAGCAGACGAGTTAGCAGTGTGATGGCAACATCTGAATATTGTTTCCGTAGTTACAGAGGATTTTCGTTGTAATTGTGTGATGAAAGTAAGGAACAATCATGAACCAGCCCTCACTGGAAGCGACCCTTTCTACATGTTAATTGCTGCGAGGATGATCCAACCCGCTTAAAGAGGTCACATCGGGTACCCCACATTTAGGGTCGGAGAAGGGTGTTATGTGAAACCACTTTAAACCGCCCTTAGCTGAGTGTGAAGTGGGCGATGGAGAAATCCTAGGCCTTTACACCGCAACATGTCGGGCAACAAAATCTTGAGGGAGTCTACAATCTTGTTTAATTTATTTTTGAATGTGTCCATCGCACGCTCGAATAAAATTGCGTCTTTTATGAACATTATAGGATTAAACCAAGAAGAGCGATTTTGAATGGCTGGTTAAGGGTGGCAAGGACTGGGGAGCACACTGCGTGAAATTGAGATTACCTGTAAGTGAAAAATCTTCGTTACTCCGAGGAGATAAAAAAAACGTCTGGAACCTGAACAGTCAAGTAGAAGTTGCTTTGAAAGCCGCCAAATGTCAATGAAGCTAAGGGCTCAGCCACTTCCAACTATTAAGATGGAGACTTCATGCACATGCAACGTCTCCCTTAATGTTTCTTGAAGAAACTGGCGCATTTTTGCTAAAATTCATACAGTAAGTACACCACTGGACGCCAATTGACCTTTGAGCTTTGTAATTTTGTACCATCAATAATACTGTTCCTGAGGTGACTGATTGTAGAATACACACATTTTACACGCCAACAAACTTTCGAAAAAATTGTGACGTGTGATAAAGTAATTTATAAAATACAATTTCAATAAATGCCTTTTCATGTATTATTTTCTTATATATTAAAACCTTAGATTTATGTTTCTTTGTTCATTTAGTAATAACCTAGTCCAAGTTTTGCAGTAAAAATTAGTTATTCTGTTTTTGCAAATTTTTGTATTAAAATAGGCGGAACTTTGATTCGGTGATTTCAAAACGAAACTAAAGACTTTTTTACTAGTTTAACATTTTATACAGAATTTCTAACATATCAATATAAATGGGTGAGTATGTTATATGAATACTGAAAACTGAGGTGAATAAAAGTCGTACAACAAAAAATCCTTAAACTTACCCCTGGTTATTGTCATCCTGCTACTCTCAAATTCCGCTGAACATAATTTTTATGAATACAAAGTCGAAAGTAATCATATTTGAAGTGTTTGTGTTTTACTCTTTGAATGAATCGCCCTGATGATGGAGGCAGTATGACCTCTGAAACGTTGGTCAACATCGACCAGACTACACAGCGCAACAACCCAGAAGACAGAAATCTTCGTACTCATCGCCCTGATGACGGAGGCAGTATGACCTCTGA